CGGCGGGCAAGAAGCTGGACGACGATGAAGTCGTCTCATACATCCTTATGGGCCTTGGGGAGGAGTTTGATTCGGTTGTGGGCAGCGTCTCCAATCGTGCCAAACCAATCTCCCTCCAGGACCTCCAGGCTCAACTGGTGAGCCATGAACAGCGCCGTGAGATCCGCGATGGCGGCTCTCACTCCTCTGCCAACCTTGCCACAAAGGGCGGCCGTGGCGGTGGTGGCTACTCCAACAACAACCACCGCGGTGGTCGCGGCGGCGGTGGTGGGCGTAATGGCGGCTCTGGCCGCGGTGGCGGCGGCCGCAATGCTGGTCGCGGTCGTGGCGAGCGTGGGCGCAACTTCATGCATGGCGTCTTCTGCTAGATCTGTGGCATCGAGGGACATCAGGCGCATCGCTGTTACAAGCGCTTTGATGCCTCGGTTCACGGCCCTCCACAAAAGAGTGCCTCCTCCGCAACCACTACGTCCTATGGCGTAGACACAAATTGGTATGTGGATTCAGGCGCCACGGACCACATCACCGGTGAACTCGAGAAGCTCACAGTGCGGGATCGATATCAGGGCACTGATCAGGTTCATACTGCCAGTGGTTCAGGTATGACAATTAATCATGTTGGTCATAGTGTTCTGCAAACCCCCATGCGTAATCTACATCTAAACAACATTCTTCATGTTCCACATTCTAGCAAGAATTTGCTCTCTGTTAATCGTCTTGCACGTGATAATCATGCCTTTCTTGAGTTTCACCCCGATCATTTTCTTATTAAGGAACAAGCCACAAAGAAAACGCTTCTTAGAGGTCCATGTGAGAGAGGGCTTTACCCTTTGAAGCCCATCCAGAATAAAGAAGTTCTCGGCGCCTTCAAACCTACTGCATCCTTGTGGCACCATAGTCTAGGTCATGCTTCATCTCATGTTGTCGAGCAAATTCTTAGCCGTCACAAGTTACCTTTTGTTAAAGAGTATAGTCATAATGTAGTGTGTGATGCTTGTCAAAAGGGCAAAAGTCATCAGTTGCCCTATCCCAAGTCATCCAGTGTTTCGTCGACTCCATTTGAACTCTTGTTTTCAGACGTTTGGGGACCGGCTCCTACCTCTGTTGGCTGGCATAATTATTATGTGAGTTTCATAGATGATTTCAGCAAGTTTACTTGGATCTACCTTTTGCGTTATAAGTCAGAAGTGTTCCAATGTTTTCGTGATTTCCAAAGTATGGTAGAACGTCAATTTGATCGTAAAATTCTTGCTGTACAATCCGATTGGGGTGGAGAGTATCAAACCCTCAACACTTTCTTCAAGCGTCTTGGCATTTCCCATCATGTTTCATGTCCTCATGCCCATCAACAAAATGGCTCTGCCGAGCGCAAACATAGACATATTGTTGAAGTAGGGTTATCTTTGCTGGCACATGCATCTATGCCACTTAAATTTTGGGATGAATCCTTTCTGACTGCCATATTTGTTATCAATAGGCTTCCCTCCAAAATTTTACAAAATGTCACACCCTATGAACGCCTACATGGCTCTCCACCCGACTACAACTTCCTCAGATCCTTTGGCTGTGTTGTATGGCTGAACCTTAGGCCGTACAATTCAAGGAAACTCCAATTTCGGTCCAAACGTTGTGTTTTCTTGGCTATAGTAACTTGCACAAGGGATTCAAATGCTTGGATCCCTCTGAGGGGAGAATCTACATTTCAAGAGATGTCACTTTTGATGAGAGTGTTTTTCCTTTCTCTCAGCTTCATCCGAATGCTGGGGCTCGACTTCGAGCCGAACTCTCTCTCTTACCTGACGTCCTAAAAAATCCGAGTTCATCTTTTGGGGATGCAACACTACATGATCAAACATTGATTAATTCTCTACCTACTAATACTGTGCCAAGGTCTTGTGATGTCCAGAATTCTGCAGGTTCCGATTCGACAGCAACTGGAGTTGAAAACGGTCTTTCCAAGCCTTCTTTCATGTACCCGGCGCCAAACGACAGCACTGGCGCGCCTGCGCTGGAACATTCCACTGCGTCTCCTTCGGGATCACCGTCGCCGTCCATCGGTTCGCCGCAGTAGTCGGGATCGCCACCGGCTGGTGCGGCTGCACAGCAGGATCCGAGCGCCGGGGAGCTGGCCCCACGCAATCTTTCACTCGGATCCACTGCGGATGATGCTCCGGTGGATTCTGGTGCGGTTCTGCATCATCAACAGCATGGTGATACACCTCCAACGTCTACCACAGTGTCTCATCGTCCAACTACGCGGCTTCAGCAAGGTATAACCAAACCCAAGATACACATTGATGGCACTGTTCGTTGGGGAATGGTTGGTGTGGTCGGTGCAGATACTGAGGAACCGTCAACGTTAGCAGAAGCTTTTGAGGATCAAAGATGGGTGGACGCCATGATCAATGAGCATTCTGCCCTGATAAACAACAAGACTTGGCATTTAGTACCACCCCCCAAAGGCAAGAACATTATAGGATGCAAATGGGTATATAAAGTCAAGAGGAAAGCAGATGGCTCAATAGATCGGTATAAAGCACGGTTGGTAGCAAAAGGATACAAACAACGCTATGGCATTGATTATGAAGACACCTTCAGTCCAATGGTGAAAGCTGCAACAATCAGACTCATATTGTCTCTAGCAGTGTCTAAGGGCTGGTCTCTCCGACAACTAGATGTTCAAAATGCCTTTTTGCATGGACTTCTAGAAGAAGAAGTGTTTATGCATCAACCTCCTGGTTACAAAGACAACAAGCATCCCAATTATGTGTGTAAATTAGACAAGGCAATCTATGGACTGAAGCAGGCACCCCGAGCTTGGTACGCTAGACTGTGCAGTAAGCTGATCACGGTAGGGTTCAGTCCGTCCAAAGGAGATACATCTTTGTTCTTCTATAATAGAGGTGGATACACTATGTTTGTGCTAATATATGTCGACGACATCATTGTGGCAAGCTCGTCAAATGAAGCAACTAATGCACTTCTCAAAGATCTGGAGAAGGACTTTGCCTTGAAAGATCTAGGCCATCTTCACTACTTCCTCGGCATAGAAGTGAAGAGACTCGATGATGGTCTGGTACTGTCACAGAAACGGTATGCAGCTGAAGTGTTGCGACGTGCAGGGATGGAAAAGAGCAAGGCAGTTGATACACCACTTGCGGTCTCGGAAAAACTCAGTGCAACCGAGGGTACAAGTCTGGGGACAGATGACTCTACCAGATATAGAAGCTTGGTTGGTGCCTTGCAGTACCTCACTCTCACCAGACCTGATATCTCCTATGCTGTGAACAAAGTGTGTCAATATTTACATGCTCCTACCACAGTGCATTGGTCTGTAGTGAAAAGAATTCTTCATTACATCAGAGGGACTTTGAATATGGGCTTGAAAATCAAGAAGTCAAATTCAATGTTGGTTAGTGCGTTTTCGGATGCAGATTGGCCAGGATGTGTTGATGACAGGAGATCGACGGGGGGGGTTGCTGTGTTTCTTGGACCGAATCTGATCTCCTGGAGTTCCAAGAAACAACCTACAGTTTCACGTTCGAGCACCGAAGCTGAATATAAAGCATTGGCAAATGCAACAGCAGAGCTTATGTGGATACAAAAGTTGCTTAGTGAACTCAAAGTATCACACCAACCCGTGGCGAGGTTGTGGTGTGATAATATTGGAGCTCGGTACTTGTCAGCTAATCCTGTCTTTCATGCAAGGACCAAACACATTGAGATAGATTTCCATTTTGTTAGAGAAAGGGTAGCCCAGAAGTTACTCGACATAAGATATATACATACAAATGATCAGTTGGCTGATGGATTTACAAAACCACTTGTAGTGTCAAAGATGGAGCGTTTTAGAAACAATCTCAACCTTGTTAGTGGCTGAGATTGAAAAGGGGTGTTAGATGATAGGATTAGTTCAGGTACTTTGTACCGTGACCACCGGCTCAGGTTGTTGAGGCCGGGATTGTAAACCATAGAATAGGATAACTATGACTCAGAGTTTGTTGTAACAACCTCCTGTGTAAACGCCATGCAGAGGGCTATTCTCTGCCGTATATAACATGTACCGAGAGGCCTAAGGAAGGTCATCTCGTTCCTCCTAGCTTTTACAAGCATCTCCATTCGTCGTAATTGGGCTCGGCGAGCTCCAGAACAACAGGCACATGAGATTTGATGTTAACCGTTTGAAGAACGGCAACAGATGGTTGGGCGGCGGCGGCAGCAGGAATTTCGCCGTCGATGGAGGAGTCAGGAGAGGAAGGAACGGAAGACGGAGCGGCGCTGGAGAGGTTGAATAGAGGATTGTCGTCCATGTGTTCCATGGCGACGCGGAGAGGAGGTGGGAACGGCGAAGCCGAGAGCACGGCGGAGGTGAGCAGCGGAACGGGAGATGATGAACGTCGAGCGGAGGAGAAGGATAATGGACCCACACTGATTGATACCATGTAGAGAGTAAAAGTGGGAGCCAACACTCTTCTGTATTGATCTCAATGAATATATATGTGTTACATCAGGTTACAACAGTGGTTGCATAATGAACAACTGTTCCTATCTAGTGCACGACGTGAGGGTCATGGGTAGTGGTGACCGCGTCCATGGTCTTGACTGGCGCCCAAGCCTGGAACTGATGTCTCTCCTCAACAGATACGAAGACCTGACCCACGTGCACATGTTCGATACAAAATTCTCAGAGCTCACACGTCCATATCCAATTACTAAGGTTCAGTTCGAAAAATCGTGGCTCCAATGCAACGCACAGGTATATATCTAGTTACTAAAATTTTAGACCACTTTAGCTCACATCTATGATACATCTAAAATTTTTGTGACGTTATCTAAACTTTAGACCTTTTATTTAGAGTCTTGAAAGTTAAAGTGGTATAAATTTTAGTGGGTAAACTTTAGACCGTGGGATCAAATAGGTCCTAACTCAAAACTTATTAGGCCGTAAAAGGAAGTAAAAAGGTTAGTCGCGGCTGTCTCGAGCGCTTATTCTTTTAGACTCATTCTTTTAGTTGCAAGTCTGCCGAGCATAAAGAGCACAAAATACAAGCTTCACTGGCCTTGATCTCCATCAGCACACAATCCTTCCTGAAATCCATTGGCAGACCCATAAGAGCTCTGAACCGGCAGCCACTATTGTCGTGGGCAAGAATGCGATAGGCTTTCAGCAAATCATCACGATCCAAGCCAGGTATCGCTTGAAGCGCAGCCAAGATCGCCGCCTCCGGTGAAGCTGAAGCTGCCTGCACGGTGTTGATTGCGTGCAGCTTATTATTAACAACCCTTCTGTTCGTCAAGTTTAGTATAGCTTCTGCTTGTGCAGCTAATGGACCGCCCGGCTGGCCGCTGCTTGGTTTAGAGTTGAAGTATCTGGAGACCCTACTGGGCAAGGGACGGTTCCAACTACGGCACCACCGTCCTTCGGGCTAGCGAAAGACGGATCGCAGCGTCTGGCTCTTCATATCGACCATGATCCGCCACACCGTCTCGTCGCCATGTTTTTCATGATGTTTCTCGCAGACCTCGAAGAAGATGGCATCGGGTTCGTCCATGCTCACGACGGGGATGTCCAGCTCGACGCGTGGGAGGCCCTTGTAGCCGTCGAGGGACCAGAGCTGGGTGGCGTCGAGCCTGGCGTCCATTGCCCAGGTCATGTCGTCCATCCTCAGCGTCCAGGTGTGGACGGCGTAGGCGTGGAAAGAAGCAAGGCAGAAGGAGTTCCCCGCGCCGCCGCAGCAGCAACGAGGAAAGACGTTGACGAACTTTATCGTGCTGCCGTCGGCGGTGATACACACTCTCCGCGGCAAATTGGCATCCTCGGGGAGCGGCACGTACCACGTGAAATTTCTGCATTTTGGTCCCTTTTGAAAATATTTTTTACAAAAAGACCTATGCCAAAATGTTTGCTGAAAATAGACTATTTTTTAGGCGTCTTAGAACATGACGCCAAGGTACGAGGGTCGGCGTCGACTGACACGACGCTGAGGTCTTGCCACGTTACGGACGACCCCGGTCGACGACGACGTGGTGGCGCATGGGGTCCGACACGTCGGCGTTGTGTCAGCCAACGCCACAAGCCCAACCTCGGCGCGGTGGGACTACACGCCGAGCTATTGGCACCATCCGACGCGCGGCCCAGGCGGCCCAACAACACTTCGTGGCCCAATAGCTCGGCGCGGGGTCACTTAACGCCGAGCCACCAGACTCGGCGCGGCCCGACTCAACGCCGAGGTCTGGACTCTTGAAGCCGCGCCGCGGCCTCCTTCTTCTTCCTCCCTCCATTCTGAAAGCGCCGGCTCTCTCTCTGTTCGTCTCCCCCCACGACCTCCACGAAACCCTAACCCCCAAATATGACCCTAGGTGCCCGGATCTCGTCTCCCGAAGCTTCCTCGAGGTAATGGTCCCTCCCCTCCTCCAATCTATCCGCGTAGATGTGCTTGCATTGTCTCTAATCATGTGGAATCATGGATGTATGGTGTTTTGGTATATGTGTATTTGCATTTGTAAAATGTATGGCTTAGGTTGATTGAGTGCATTGTTGTTTAACTGTTTTATGTGCTGAACATGTTAGGTTAGTTTGGTTTCGGTAGTTATTTTGGTCATTAAGGTTCTTTGTTTATTGTAGGTGTCATTAGGGTTAGTTATTTGTTGGTCATTAGGGTTAGTATGTATTTTAGTTATTTGTTGGTCATTATATTTCAATTTTTTATGACTAGAAATGATTATGTTGTTGGGGTTGAAAAAGATGAATGATATATTTTAGTTTCTACTTATTGGATTGAAACTCGCATGATATATTGATATGTGACACTACTTGTTGTGTGATGGCTGTAGATGGATAAATTAGTGAGGTTGCATCATGGAGACCGTAAAGTTGTGAAAATAGACTAATGTAGGAAAAAAAAAGAGACAAGGAGAAAATGATGGAGCATTAGACAAGGAGCGAGCTAAAAGATCCAAAGACTTCATATGCTTCTTTTGTGCATGGACTATGTATGCATTGGACCTTATGTAATGCACTATGTATGGACCTTGTACTATGTTTGGACTATGTTAGATGATTGATGAAGCATATGTATGGACTATGTATGGATGTTGAATGTGTTGGACTATGTTGGATGTTGAATGTGTTGGACCTTATGTATGTATGGATGTTGAATGAATGTGTATGTCGGTGTGGTCATTTGTTATGTGAAATTCTGTATGCTCATGTATTCTGTCATGTATTCTGTGTATTATGTGTTATGTGTATGCTCAGTTCATTGTTTTTTGGTGAACCCAGGAGCTCGGCGTCAATTGAACACACGGAGCAAGCAAACACTTAAAAAGAATGCGGAGGGCTAGACAAAAAATTGCAAAAACTTTGGCTCCTTAATATTAGGTACTCCCTCCGTCCAGAAAAAAAAACGCAATTTTAACTTAGAATTGTGTTTTTTTCAGAGGAAGTATAGATTAAATCAGACTCGATATCATTGCTAGGCACGAGTTATTAGATTTCTTTTCTCTATTTGAAAAATAAAGAAATATTTAGACGTAATATATCATAGCTTTTATTTCAAACTATCTATGTGCCGCTATAGTTAAATACCGAGTTCCGTTAGTCTTTTTAAAAGCCTAAAATATATAATTTAAATGTTTGATTAAAGTTGATAAGACGTTAGTCTATTAAGGACTGATCTAAAGATTTAGACTCGATTAGACAATAAATTGTTCAAGATTTCAGTTTACGTTTTGATTAGTTAGACCATCAACTGATCCATGTTTTACTAAAAATAATTTTTGTTTTTAAATCAAAACTATATCAACATTTTGATGGTCAAAATATTTGTTTTTTAAGAAAGGTCAATGATTCAAAGACAAATAATATTGTATTTATTATTTTCACTGTTTATGAGCAAAAAAATATCAGAGTTGATGAGTAGGTAGAAAAAAATCGAACCAAGCAGACGAAAGAAACAAAATGTTGATATGGCAAAACGTCAAAACCCTCGATCTGACCTCCCAAGAGCTGGATTTAGGATTTAGGGTTCGTGGGAAGAGAGAGGGAGTGGGAAATGGCCACCTGTTGGTTCTGAATGGAGGGAGGAGGAAGAAGGGGGCCGCGACGCGGCCTCAACTGACCGAACCTCGGCGTTGAGTCGGGCCGCGCCGAGGTTAGCGTCTCGGCGTCATCTGATCGCACGCCGACCTCTTGGCCCACGAAGCGTTGTTGGGCTACCTGGGCCGCACGCGGGATGGTGCCAAGAGCTCGGCGTGAGTCCCCACCGCGCCGAAGTTAGGCCTGTGGCGTTGGCTGACACGACACCGACGTACTGGGCCCCATGCGCCAGCCCCGGAGTCGTCGGTGACGTGGCAAGGACTCGGCGTCGTGTCAGTCGACGCCGACCTTCATACCTCGGCGTGATTTCCTAAAACGCTTAAAAATGATCTATTTGTAGCAAAAGTTTTGACAGAGATCTTTTTATAAAAAATGTTTTAAAAATGAACCAAAATGCAAAAATTTCACCACGTACCACAGGCTGGGGCTCTCGTCGAACACGTCCTCGGAGAAGAGCAGACCGTCCGCCAAGTGAACCCAGCAAAGCTTCTGGTCGCCGACGGGGATAACGATGCTGTTTTGCCACGAGGACGCCAGGTTCACACACAGTCTCACCGCCGTCGCGTCGTCGTAGCGGCTGACCACAGGCCGCTTGACGCACCACTCGCCGGAGGAGCACCGGCCGGAGCAGGTGGAGCGCGGCCGCCTCCTCGTGCGTCGTGTCCCCCTTCATCACATACTCCATCTTAAGCTCCGCCACCAATGCAAGAAATCGTCCTCGCCACGGCGAAGTAGGCCGGTGCTTTCACTATCCAGGTAGTGACACCCGCGGGGACGACGCTTCTCTTCTTCATAGGTGATGGAGTGAGGCGCGAGCAGCGACAGCGACGGCGGCCGCGGCAGTTCAGCGGCCGCGTCGCCCGCATTGTAGACGAAGTGGTCAGTTGACTCGTCCTTGATCCCCGCGACCTGGACGACCACGGAGTCGCCGTGTGCCGCGAGGACTACAGCATAGGACACCTCGACGCCGGCAGGAAGTTGGACGCATACGCGCGATCTGGGGGCGCTGCGAGGCAGAGGGAGACGTTGATGGGAAGGCCGCTGATGGTGCGGCAGCTCGCCAGCGTGTTCGTGTCGGCAATGGAGGAGGAGGAGCCATCGACCTCGAGCGTGCAGTAGTGCTCGAACATTACCCATGGAGGGTAGGCCTTCGCCGCCGCCATCCGATCCGCCGTGGGTTGAGAATTGAGATATATGGGTTCGTGATGTTTACTGGTGTGTCCGTGGTTTTTTTTTTTGCGGTGCGGCGTCTTACCAAGATCTTCTTTTCTTTATAAACGCTGAAACGATCTCCGTTTCGATCACGAACCGTCTACCTCCTATTACAGGGCAGACTGCTATATAGATAGATCGGGAGACAGAATTTTTGGTATTCTTTCAGCCGACAGATCGACCAAGGACTCTGTACGTGGATCTCCTGTCCTCGTTTACTAGATGAACTTTTCATCTTTTTCTTTTGCCTGAGCGGAACATAATGTACACACCTGCCTCACATCCCTTTCGAAAACCAATTCTAACTAAAATGAGAAAGAAGAGATAAAGTCTCTTTTTTCTGGTAAACTGAGTGACTTTCCTTTAACAAAATAAGTGAACTCAGTAAAATCCAACCAAAACAGAACAACAAGAAAGAATAACAAACAGATCATGTTACACTTCTTAAAACAATTTCTTATAAATTACATAGATGATTTTGATTCATTATTGAATCACATCATGGACGATACTAATATTATGGATGATTTGGATTCTAAAGATTCTAGATCAAATGAGGAATCTAGCTCTGAATTAGATAGTGAATCCAATACAGAGAATAAGGATTGGTTCAATTATTTTATTGGAATAATCGCTAGTATCTAACTTTTAAGATTTTGCTAGACGTCCTGACGCCTGCACATGCTGCTATGCCTACCCGTGTGCTATTGCGTCTGATGTGCCCCGCGCCTCCTCTTGCTTTTTTTTGAACACGCGCCTCCTGCTGCACCCCACGCCTCCTCCTACAGTTGCGCCTATCCGGGAGAGCATGTGCGTGGGCACATCCAACTACATGCGAGAGAGAACACAGCGCGTGTACCCCAATGCAAGAGAGAGCACAATACGCGTGCCCCAATTCGAGAGAGACCCTAGCTGCATGCGGGAGAGGGATCACAACGCACATACCCCAATGCGAGAGAGAGCACAGCGTGCGTGCCCCAATGCGAGGAGAGAGAGGGAGGGATCACAGCGCGCATGCACGTGTTGAGCCAGCTGCATTCTCCACCGTGGGGGCGCCTGGTGCAGCACGTGCTTACCCGCGAGTCAGAGCGCGTGGGGAGCAGCACCTGTTGAAACATACTGAAACAAGGTGGAACAATTAAAACATACGTTTACAGCATAGGTGTATAACCACGGCAACATATGCAACATCCAGATAAAACACTACAACATACGTCTGAAACAGGTGAAACATTTGGAACATACACTTGCAACATACATGTAGAGCCACTGCAACATATGCAACATCCAGATAAAACAGCTGAAACATTTAGAAAATAAACTTGCAACATACGCGTATAGCTATTGCAACATATGCAACATTCAGATAAAACATATACAACACCTGAAACACATACGCCGGCGTGGAGCTCGATACCCACGGTCACCCGTCACTGGAGCAGCAAACGACGCATATAGATGCGGGCCTGTGCTCCTCTCACGAACTCACGGGCTTGCCATTCTCTCTCTCTCTCTCTCTCTCTCTCTCTCTCTCTCTCTTGTCACCATGCATCCACGGGCCCCACGCACTGCATGCATCCCACGCCGAGCGAGTGGCCGCACGTGCTCCCAAGCGTTGACCCGCGGAAAGGATAGGTGCGGTCCCCGTCTGACTGCAATTGCACACGTCTCTTTTTTCTTGGTTACCACGCCGCGCGGGTCAGGGTCCATTCGGACGGACTGACGTCCTCAACCAAGCATTACCGTAACTTTTAACATTCAATTCGTGCGCTTTATTAGAAACTAGTAGACATGCACCTGTGTCTATAAAAAAAATCATAAACATAAGAGAATAGTAACGTTTTTTAATAACTTTTTGTCATCATATTGTCCTTCTGTATATCATGTTCATCTTCATACATGTAGAAAAGTCCTATTGTTGACTCAGAGACCGCCGTCTGCTTGACAATGCCATCTAGTGTTCTTATTTGATTGTTGATGGACAAAGAAGCCGATAGCTATGGAAACTTGTGGTTTGCTTGATGAAAATAGCCGATGTTCCCAACAATTGTTTTTCAACATTGAGCCGCATATAGTCTTACTAAGTGCTAGAAAATAGATTCATTTAGATTTGTGAAAACAAAGAAATATGATATGAAAAACTCTGATGGGAATCCCCTAGTGCTTAAATGCAAAGACATATTTGTAGGGTAAAAAATAAATTTCATTTCAGAACTTACCATTTCAAACAAAATTTTAAATTGCTTTTTAGTTTCAAGATGGTTAAATCCTTCTAGAAACAAACCTAGGATCATTTTTAAATGCTGCATCAAGCAAACACGCCATGTAATCAAATAATCCTAGAATGCTCTAGTACCAATTGGACTATCAAACCGTAATATACATGGAAACGTGAAACTAATCTTCCCAATTTGCAGTAGTTGAGCAATCTATCAACCTAAACATTTTATTATTCCTCAACCAGCAAAAGGGATGTCAGATTGCTGAGAGTAACATGCAAAGGCAGAATTCTTGTGACTAGAGATAAAATCAAGGCTCTCTGGTTTGATACTTTCAAAGCATGCTCTAATTATTCTTTGCATATCAGAAACTTGATCTACTAAATCTACCCTAATATGGATTAAAATTTCATTTTCCCAAAGAAAACTTACATCATGTAAAAGCTTGCAGAGTGAAAATTAAGTCACCATGTTAATTTCAAAACACATCCAGATTCAATGCACAATTCATAAAAAAAAATGAATTTATAGTTGATCTATAGCCAAGCAACTGCAACCACACTCAGAGATAGTGCAAAAGGCATCAACAAATTATTCAAAATTAAGGGGACTACAACTGTTTAAAATTACATGTGTAACTTTTAAACAAAATACAGTATAAATTTTAAAACCACCATCAACAACAAATTGTTATACCCTCACAGAACATGTAGTGAGTGGGACTGCTTATAAAAAATCAACGATTATATAGAGTCACCAACCTGAGACACATTATATAGTATAGTCCTGAGCCAGCCTATGTTCCTAGCACCTCACGAAGTAGAGAAGGAATATCGTGCTTGGGCCGGCACTAAAGGCCAGAAATCTGTCCAGCCAGGCCGTGCTTTTTAGGGGCATCCAATACGCCAGCTCATATGACATGGGTTCCTTTCACTTTTTCATTTTATGCATGTCTGTTCTCCGATGGTCTGCTAATACACATGTATGTACATGTAAGTGTGATCATGCGATCGAAGTAAAAGTATGTGTAGGCTTGAACAGGTAGAATCCTTAAATCACCATAACAGACTGACCGGTGAAATTCAGGGAAAAAAAATATGTGTGGGAACCATGTAATCATACTATTTATACTACTCCCTCTGTCTCAAAATATAAGACGTGATTTGATTTGGTGTGGTCTTCAAGAACATATTTTTAGCCTATAATCTCTCTTATAATATATAATTTATAGGAACAAAAACTTAATTATTATTGGAAAGTATTTCTAAATATAAATCTAATGTTACTATATTTATAGCGTAAACTTAATTTTTATATGATTAGGATAATTGTTAGTCAAAAATAACAAAAATTCAATTTTGAAATACATACGAGCCTTACATTTCAGTACATTCATACAAAGGAAAACCAGCGTCCTTTACGGCAACGTGATGATATATTAGTTGAAAAAAATGATAATGATACGTGGATAATAAGAAAAAAACAGCAGCGTGATGATCCACGGAGTTAGTAGAATAGTAGTAGTTAGTACACAGAGGATAACATAACAACTTTTAATTAACAAGAATGAAACGCGCACGCAGCAGCAGCCGCGGAGCACGCTCCGCCGTGTGCATGATGCGTTCCCCCTCCCACTCCTCTTTCGGTCTTTCCTTTTGCCCAGGCGCCGACCCCGCCGACCCGGGCGACACGACGACACCAAGTGCGCGGGCGCAATCATCCTGCCCGTCCTTTCGCCCAGGCCGCGACCGCCGCCGCGCCGCGCAGGATCGCCCGGCTTCCGCGCGCCCGGCCGCCGCGCAATCATTTCGATCTCGTCCCCCGCGCGCGGCCCGCGCCTACGCGGGGCCGGGCACGTAGCCCGGTAGCCGTGCGACGCGCGCGGGGAGCCCGTCCGCCGATCCGAAGGTCCCCGTACGCGACGGCGAGGTGGCGCGCGGGCGGGACGGATCACGGACGCGGGAATTGATGCGTTTCACGCGTTTCCGCCGATCGGCCGTCGGACGATGGATGCGCGCGTGGGATGAGGGCAGCTGAGTTAACCCGTTCCGTACCGCCGTTGACTGACGTGCTGGCCTTCCTTTCCTTGGCCGTGACCCGTGAGCTGGCTGCAGTCTTGCAGACTTTTCGTTTGCCGTGGCTTGTTGTAAACGGGCCATGTTTAGTTTACCCTAAATTCTCAACTTTGATACCATGTAAAAAGAAGATTCTCTGTTACATCAAACTTACGGTATATGCATAGAGTACTAAATGTTGACGAAAACAAAAACTAATTGCACAGAGTTTGGTTGTACTTTACGAGATGAACGTTTTAAGCCTAATTAGTCAACGATTGGACAATTGTTACCAAACAAAAACAAAACGTTACTGTTGCTACAGTGTTGCTACCATGTTTTGCCGGCGCTGGTTCGGCCAACTAACCACGTCCACGATCGTAAATTTTCATCCGGAACAGTATTTTTCTCTCTAACAAACCAGCCAGCAGTACTTCTTCACGAACCAGCAACGATACAAAACAGCCAACCAAACAGGACCATGATCTTGCGTGTACGGTAGGGATCCACAATACATCCCAATCAATTCGATCGGTCTGTCACAAAAAAAAATCAATTCGATCGGTGTCCATACAAAATGTATTCAAATCAGTTTAAGAGGAGCTTTACTATTTGCTTAGTACACCGCGGAGCAGATCGTGTGTGTATATAT